CTCACTGGCTGAGCAAGGCGCGGGAGCAACACCGAGGGTTGCGATCCGTTGCCGGACACGGAAAAAGACAAAAGACAAAAAAAAAAAAGATCACCTTCAAAAACTGGGGTATCAATTGTCTTCAACCTTCATAGTGGTACTTAAATAATTTTTATCATTTTTTAATCTGTCACTTTGTCTAGCATGGGGATTGCATGACTGTTCATCAGTGTAACTTTACTGCTTGGCCTGAGCATGGGGTTCCTGAAAACAGTGCCCCTCTAATTCACTTTGTAAAGTTGGTTCGAGCAAGCAGAGCGCATGATACCACACCTATGATTGTTCACTGCAGGTAAGAAAGAGATATGTTTAGAACCTTTTATTAAATTTTAGAAATGATCTTTAAGCCCATTGGCCTTTTATTATCAAGACACCATTGATTATTTTCTTGAAGAATGTTAATGTAGATTTACTCCAGCCTACAGTTCTCAGATATTTTGCTGGTTATGTTAAATCAAGATATAGCTTTATAAAAGTTTAAAAAAATAAACTTTTTTTTTAAAAAAAAAGAAATGAGGGCCGGCCGGTAGCGCACTCGGTAGAGTGCGGCGCTTGGGAGGGCGGCGGCACTCCCGCCGAGGGTTCGGATCCCATATAGAGACCGGTCCGCTCACTGGTTGAGTGCGGTGCGGGCGCGACACTGAGGGTTGCAATCCCGTTACCGGTCACGAAAAAAGACAAAAAGGAAAAAATTAAAAAAAGAAATGAAATGAATGATGAACCTGTGTAAAAGCAAGAGAAAATATATATACTAGTATAGAAATTTTCCCAAGTTATTGACTGGCTTATGCCTCTCAAAGGCTTTAAAAGTATTTAAAATATTTAAAAGTTATACCCCATCACTGATGTGTGTACGTGTGTTTGTGTAGGATTTTATTAATAAACATCTGATCCTTCATCATTTCAGTTCCTAATAGTCTAGTATCATAACTTAAACATTTTTTGTAAAAGAGAATTTTTAGATTTCTGAATTACAAAGAAAAAATCAGAGAAAATTAACTTTAATGTAAAGATTTAATTAAGTAACCAACCCAAGTACAGTTTCAGATTTTTACAAAACTTTAGCTACTCAAATGTCTTTGAACATGGTTAACAGGATGTAACTATAAATTGAGATTTTTCCCCCTTATTATTTTCATTGTTATTTAATATTCTGAGAAACAAAACTCAAGACTGTTTAACATTTAGAATTTTTCTAGACACATCGGCATGATATATGTTTTCTAACATGATATATCTAAATTAAATCAATCTCAACTTGAGTCTCTTTCACAATTGGAGTTTGGAGATTAGAGTGAAAGTGGATGATAATACAATGTAGTAAAATTCTGCTTACATGAGATACCTAGGATGGATAAATTCATAGAGACAGAAAGTAGAATTGTAGTTACCAAGGAAGGAGGAAATGGAGAGTTATTATTTAGAGTGAAAGTGGATGATAATACAATGTAGTAAAATTCTGCTTACATGAGATACCTAGGATGGGTAAATTCATAGAGACAGAAAGTAGAATTGTAGTTACCAGGGAAGGAGGAAATGGAGAGTTATTATTTTTGGGTACAGAGCTTCTGTTTGGGATGATAAAGTTCAGAAAGTGATAACAAAACTGGTGATGTTTGCACAACATTGAGAATGTGCTTAATGCCACTGAATTGTACACTAATGGTAAATTTTGTGCTATTTTTCTTTTACCACAATAAAAAGATTATTTTTTAATTAACAAGATATTTTAATATTATTTTCTAACAGGAGTATACTATAATTAATGTGGTTAAATATGTAAGAAAAGATAAATTTACCCAATTTTTAAACTTTTATTTAGAGAAAAAACAGCATCAAATTTAAATGATTGTACATTTTTCATGAATATTCTTTATTTTTAAATTATAAGAGTAATACATATATGCTTGCTCATTATAAAATATCAGAACAATGTTTATATTTATAAGGCATATAGAACCAAAAAGACAAGCCTCATTCTTACCCTCCCAATTCCATATCTTTCTGTACACATAAAATTTTAACAGCATATTACATATATATATAAATAGTATAACAGTTTGCTCCTAAAGTCAGTGATTGATTTTACACTGCCATCAGTGATGATTAAAACTTTTAATAGACAGTAACTGCTTTTAGCTTCTCTGTATCTTGCATATATATTGCCACTGGCACTAAAAGCCATTAAAAAAGAAAAGCATTTTGTCATTTTTAAGCCTTAAAGAGTAGAGAGTCTCCTTCTTTGTGATTTAAATAAATAAAATAGATAAAAGTATGCTCATATTTAATGGTCATTTTTAAATATCATTTTTAAACTGTCTGCTAAGTATCTCCAAATCCAAGCTGTCACCTCAACTTCAGACTTCTACATTTAGCTTTCAGTTCAACATGACAACCTGAATGACAAAAAATTCTAAAAATTTGATGTGTCCAAAACAGAACACTTGATTCAGTCTCCAAGCTGAGATTGTCCCTATCTTGGTAAACAGCAATTCTCTTCTGCTTTGGTCAGAAACCTTGGAGTCATCCTTGACTCTCCTCTTCCTTTCACTTTTCACATTCAATCTACCAGCAAATCTCCTATCCCTGGCCACCTCTTACCTCTCCATTGTACTGTCCCCTCTCTGGTTTCCTTGCTCTTCTATAGAACATGCTGCCACTTAGATCTGTTCTCATTCTGCAACCTCAGCCTCTTAATGATCCTCTCCCAGAAACCCACATGGTGTGCTCCCTAACCTGATGCAAGTTTTTTTTTCAAATACTACATTATCAGAGAAGCTTTCTCTGATGACCCTATTCAACCCTATCACTCCCTATCTCCTTAACCTAGTTTATCTTTCTTTACAGCACTTGTCACCACCGAGCACATTCTTTGCCTGTTTGTTTGTATACCACTGTCCTCTAGAATATAAGCTCCATTCGTGCAGGGACTTTGTATTGTTCACTGCTATACCCCGGATTCCTGGAGTGTCTAGTACCCAAAATATATTGAATGATTTAATGACTCATTACTCTGTTAAGGCATATACATGTTACCATAATTGGTTTTATGTTGCTAATGCTCACAATTTTTTAGGTTGAATCATAGAAAATTGCCAATATTCAGTTGTCTCTTACCTATAAAAATGGCAGTTTCATGTTGCTCAAAGTAATATTCATAGATGACCTTCCAAAAAGTTTTTCTCAAATTCACTTCTTATGTTAAACAATATTAATTAGGGATCTTGTCTTTCTAATGGGAATTTCCGAATCCATCTTGTGAGGTTTATCAGTCAACAGTTTCTCTGGAGCACATGCCCATCCTTGGGTTTTAAACTGATTTCTTAAAAGGAAATAGTTTGTCAATTTTACTATATACAGGAGGTAAAAACGTTCTACACAAAAAAAGCAAAAGGGACACTTGGGAAGCTTCTAGTATTATGCACAGGAAATGTGATAGGGGCTAAATATTAGACATTTTTAATATTCAACATTTCTATTGGTAACTGAAAATATGGTTAATACAAAGTTTCTGGTGTTAAGAATTTTCAATGATTTTTAAAAATCTTCTTTATACTTCTCCAATACTCTCTAAAATATCATAAAAGAAAAGGGTAAGTTCAGCAAGTTAAAAAAAGAGAAAAACTCAAATATTTCATAGAGCACTAATGATAATCATCTTGCCCTAACAGTCTTGGTAACAATAAAAATCTAAAGAAACTCCAAAGAAAATCTACATCCAAATAAGAAAAGAAATTGTTTAGAATTTATTGCTATCATAGCTCATTATCCTCATCACCATCAAAATAAACAAAACGTTGCTGAATATTTTTCACATAATTTCACTCTTTCTATAGTGCTGGAGTTGGAAGAACTGGAGTTTTTATTGCTCTGGATCACTTAACACAACATATAAATGACCATGATTTTGTGGATATATATGGACTGGTGGCTGAACTGAGAAGTGAAAGAATGTGCATGGTGCAGAACCTGGTAAGATATCTAAACCTGTGCTCACTTGGGAGCAGCTGTAGAATTTTTACAACAGAGAATCCTAGTGGCAGCAATCTGGTTAGACATGGGCTTGAAGCTGTATTTACATTGCAGACACTCTCTTTTCCCTGCATCATAAAACTCTTGGGGAGGTCTTGGGGAGGGCAACTGATGGAGATTATGAAAGAACTAAAGACCCAAAGACAATGTGCCACAGTCCCCCTTCAAGTCTGTTACTGACTGCTCATCCTAACTTGTTTATATTGATAGGTGTGTAGAAGATACTCCATAAAATTGATTTTTCTTCATCATTTAGCAACTTTGGGGAGCTTACAATATAAATTCAAATCCATTTCTTTTGTAGATATGCTAGAAATTATCAACTGAGAAAACAATTTAAAATATTGACTGTAATGAGGTTCTGTGGATCTCACTTGTCCATATTTATCCCTATTGACTATTAGTATTAATAATGATTATTGCATCATGTTATCAACTAACACTGGGATTTTTTTGTTTGTTGTTTTGGTTTGGAGGCAAAAATATTTATAAAATATTTTTCTTCATTCAAAAAATCACACGGTATAGTGGTAATGGGACTAAAAACCCTCTATTTCCTATTTCCCTCTCTCCCCTCCCCCCATCAACATCATATCTGTTCATTTGTCTTAACAAGTTCAAGGAATTGTTGTGATCATTGTGTCTTCTTCCCTCACCCTCCTATTTGTTTGTTTGTATATCTCCTGCTAAGGTGCCAGGCGGTGGCTTCGGGGTAGGAAATGGCTCTGGACGATTGTATGAAGAGTTACAACGAGTCATTCCTAGAAAAGATGCAATTAGGAAAAAATAAAGCATGTTGAGTATGGAACTGTTAAGAACAACGCTTTTATTTTAAAGGGTACCCATGTCTCATCCTGTCGAAAAACACCCAGCTGGATAACTAATACAAGGATAAAAGTTAAGTTCTTCGCGTGATCCACGTATTAAAATGGTCCCTTAAGGCGATTCCAACCCTTAATTGAACACACACCTGTGGGACAAAAATGGAGATTTTTGGTGTAGCGCTGCTGCCCCCACCCTCATGAATTGTGACTCTTGAATGGACTCAGAGAAGTTCACTCTGCCAGTAGTTTTAAGGAGCAAGTGGATTGTAAAAAATAATGACGACTTTACTGTGGACACACTTAGAAGTGAATGTTTAAAAATTAGAAAACACAAATCAAAGTTGTTAAAAGTGTGAGAAAATGAGGTTCTTTGCTAAAATAAGTATGAGAAAAAATCAAACTGATTTTTTTTTTTTCCTTTTTTTTGTCTTTTTTCGTGTCCGGCAACGGACTGCAATTAGAAAACACAAATCAAAGTTGTTAAAAGTGTGAGAAAATGAGGTTCTTTGCTAAAATAAGTGTGAGAAAAAATCAAACTGATTTTTTTTTCCTTTTTTTTGTCTTTTTTCGTGTCTGGCAACGGACCGCAACCCTCAGTGCTGCGCCCGCCCCTCGCTCAGCCAGTGAGCGGGAACCGGTCTGTATGTGGGATCCGAACCCTCAGCGGGAGCGGCGCCGCGCTCCCAAGCGGCGCACTGTAGCAGTGCGCCACCGGGCTGGCCCCCAAACTGATTTTTAAACACAGAATTTCTTAGAACTTTTACAAGTATGCTAATGTGCATGGGCAGTTAAAAATGCAGAACCCTTGTAGGTGACATTTCCCAAACTTATATGATGGTGGAACAACCCATCAACTCTTTTTGACTTCAAACTTATGATACATGTCATGGAACATTAATGCTCTAGGAAGATGCTGCTCTAGACCAGAGACATCTAAATTTTGGGGGCTGCATATCCCTTTCAGGAAAAATGTTTGAGTATTCGACTCCAATACAGATATATTTATTTTTTAAATGTAGATTGTATAATTAGGTAAATTATGAAGCACAAACAAAATAAGAAATTGAAAAACATGAGATAAAGATCACATACGTAATATTTTCAAAACTGTGCTAATTGCTGTGGCTTTATATTATCACTAGATATTTTCAAAAGAGACAAGATACTTCTATTTTCATAGTGGTTTTAAATACATATTTTAAATTATTTATAATTTTAAAAAAGTGATCTACCTTTCTGTCAGATCTGATTACATTGTTTTATTTTTAATCTCATAATATGGCTGCAAGATTATTCTAGGAATAAGAAGAATGTCATCTCTGCCAATTTCTTGTCATTCTTTTGGGCTTGCATGAAGATTTATTTATTGAATAATAATATTTATTGGACATAAATATTATCTTCAATTCAAAGTCTCTTTGTAGGAATCTTTTTCAGCCATGTCAATTGTGTGATGATTAATGAGGTAAAACTAGGTAATGTAATCAATGGGTCCTGAAAATTATCCAGGGGTCTTATGAGGGCTCCAATATCAACCCAACTATTTACCATTATTAAAATTCAATTTTCTTCTTATTTTTAGTTAAAAATAAGGATAAATAGAAAGCTAACATTTTTCTCCCATGCCCCTAGGTGTACACATGTACACTAGGGATCAGTATTCTTGACAAAATTGATAGTCAGCTTTCTTGGCTAGGATAGAGGGTGGGACTGATTGTTTCCTTCTAGAGTCAATCTTCATATAATAAAAGTTGAAAAATAATTGCCATACTCTGCAGTCTTGTGGAATTGAACTTTATATAAATAGTGTGTTCTAGAATGCCTATTAATAATTTTACCCAATTTAGTACTCAATATATGTCATAAACAATATGCTTGTTTAACCAGCCAGAACAAAATATTGCAGGTTGGGTAGGGGAACGGAAAGACCAAGGTTTTTGAAGTCAGAGAACTCAGTTCAGAATCCAGCTCTGCTGATTGTTGGCTCTGTTACTTTATTTAATTAACTTCCCAGAGCTATTTCTCTTTTGTAAAATAGCCCTGTTACACTTTTCTAAGTTGTAAGTGTTAAATAAGAGAAGGTATCTAAAGCACCCAGCATAGTGCCCAGCATGCAATAAGTGTCCAGTAAGATTTTGCTGGTTTCCCTCCTTGCTGAAAATCAGGCCCTCCAAAGCTCTCTTTGTCTGTTTTAATTCCCAGAGTGATGTTCCTTACTGTCTTTTCCTTGTGATGAAAAATAGGAGAATAACCACACTGGCCTCAGTCCTTAACCAGCATTGCCTTGCACAAGAGTGGTTTCATATTTTCGTCTATTGCACTGGGCAGTGATTTCAGTTTCTACATATCAGCACATACTACAGCAGCCAAGGGCAGGGGTGAGGAGGTGGGAGACTCAATAATATACTGCCACTAAAAGGCACCAGAGTGGCATGACCTGTACCCAGGAGAGAGTTTTGATTTCCTTCACTCAAAAAACAGTTCATTGCAGCCCCAGAATATTTGAAAGTCCTTTCTGAGAGAATGCTCTGCACTGAGCCTCAAATAAGGGTTAATCTGGATTAATCCCTTTCCTGCTCTGGATTCTCCTGGAAATTTACTGGTGTGAACTCCTATGGTAGAAGAAAAAAGTAACTAACATATTTTGAGTGCCTAGTTTTTTGCCAGGCATTTTACACATATAAGTCCCTTAAATCTCCCAATACAGATTTTATGATCTCCCAGATGAAGAAATTGAACATCAAAAAAGTTTAGTTCTTAAGGTAATATGGCTATCTAGTGTAGAAACTGGGATTGAATTCTTTTCCCAGCAATACACTGCCTCCTTGGCCGTAACACATGGTGGTAGAGGGATTGTGGGACCTGTGGGACTGTCTCCTGGAGCTCAGCCTGCCCTGCTGGCAGAGTTCACTCCCATCATTCTTTCCAGTGGAGAAGATGAGATCAGGACAGTCAGAAGCTTCACATATCAAATGTAACTTGAAATTCAAAGGTGTTTTTTTAAGGGATTGTGGGACCTGTGGGACTGTCTCCTGGAGCTCAGCCTGCCCTGCTGGCAGAGTTCACACCCATCATTCTTTCCAGTGGAGAAGATGAGATCAGGACAGTCAGAAGCTTCACATATCAAATGTAACTTGAAATTCAAAGGTGTTTTTTTAAAAATACCAGAACAGATACATTTAAATGATATTTTGAAAATTGTAAATGTGTCAACATATTTCTGTCAATAATGTTATTCATTGTATGATGTATGTTTGAACACACTCTTTTGGAATTACCTTGAGAAGTAACTTACTAGCAACTTCAATAGAATTTTTATTAGTAACAACACTTCATTTCTTACCAAAATTGAAATTCTGTAACTTGATCATCTACCTCACTTACAAAACTTGACCCCTAATGACTTTCGGATGTTCTCCAGATTACATCTGCCCTTAAATGGTAAAGATTGGCAAGCTGTAAGAATTAAATGAGACTAAGTAAACAAATATTTATTATGCAACCACTATGTGTCAGACACTATTACAGGCAATGGGAATAAAGAAGTGAATATGGTAAAGTTCTGCACTCATAGAACTGTCATCCATCCCAGTACTGAGATGTTAGTGGAAACATTTTGTAATCCACAAACAAAAAGATATTCCTAATAATGACGAACAATTTTTGAAGATAATTTCAATGGAGAAGTTCCAAAAAGGTTTTGAGGTACCGTAACAATAGATATGAAGATAATCTCTTAAAATAATCTCTTTTGAGGGCGTTCTACTTAAATCAATTGTGAGTTGATATACATGTCAGACATTTGGTGATATTTCTTTAAAGTCAGGTATATTTCTTATGTACAAATAAGGGTGATTTAAAATATACATTTTTTTTAGCCTTCTTTTGGAAAAGTTCAAACTCAGAACTGTTAACAAGTTGTTTAATTGTATTGAATAAACGTAAGGAATCCAGATGCTACTGAATTTAATCCAAACGTTCAGATAAAATGTTACAAGTCCTTGTCCACCACCTGGATGTTTGCATATTTCAGTGGCCAACTGTCTTGTATTTAAAAATCAGGACCACATACTTGACATTAAGTAGCCACTGTCCAGGTGATTAGCAAAATTGTTAAACTTGTTTTAAATGTGCTGATGGTGTGTACATATGCCTACTCACAGATTTCAAAAGTAAATTTAGCCTCTGTATTCCAACAGCCATTCTAACAAGAAAGATTACTCAATTAGATCTAACAGGAAAAAGGAAGCTCATAAACAAATGTAAATAATATAATTTGTTACTTTTTACAATCACAGCAAGAAAATATATTAACATTTGCTGTTTAATGACAAGCATTAAAAAAAAAAAAAAACCAGAGGCTACAAGAAGCCACAGGAATTTAGAAAACCTTATGGTTGAAATGGTAGAAAATCATGGATATACTTTGGTAAATTCTTGTCTTTAACTTAGCTATTTATCATTTGTTGAATGAATACTGCTTTTCACTGTAACAGTATAACTGCCCTTTCCAGAAAAATCTCCACCCCACTCATTTGTTTCATTGTTATTTCTTTGGTGTCTAGGCACAGTATATCTTTTTACACCAGTGCATTCTGGATCTCTTATCAAATAAAGGAAGTAATCAGCCCATCTGTTTTGTTAACTACTCAGCACTTCAGAAGATGGACTCTTTGGATACCATGGAAGGTAAACAGAAACAATGTGTACCCAGTTTACTAGTTTACCACCTAAAGCAGGAGCATTAATTTCATAATATCCATGTTAAAAATGTTTTAGAAGCTGGGTTAGTACATGTATCAATTTTTCATTTCTCTTTAATCCAAGTTAGGTAATAGCCTTTCTATCTGCATTATGTTTTTGCCATGAAACATTTAAATCCCTTCAACTGTTAACTTCAATACTCTCTTGTGACATGTTACTTTATATTATAGGTGATGTTGAGCTTGAATGGGAAGAAACCACCATGTGAATATTCAGAACAAAGATTACAAGTGGACGATATTTTCAAATCCCAGGGGCCAAAATTACCCCCTCGGTCTTCAGAACTGAAATGTGCAATCTTAAAGAAATCTGCATGCTTCCCACGCTGTGCCTTACTAAGTGGATTGACCATTTTATGAACAGCTCTAGGAAATAGCTAATTCAGGATAGTTATTTGTTTTGTACAGAATGAATATTATACAATTAAAATGTTTAAGAAAAGACGTCCCATAGATTTTTAAAGTCTTCCATCTTTTTGGAATAAGCCAAATATGAAATTATTATTTTATTAGCATTAATGTTTCAACATGAATTTTCACTATGTCTTGGATTTAATTTTGAACATAATTTGTAAATGTTGATTCAGTAGTGTTATTTTGGCCTCCAGGGTGTTGACATTTCTTGTAGATAACTTCCAGGACTGTCATAATGATCTGTACTTCCACGTACAACCCTGTGTTTTGAATCCTCTGTTTTATGAGTGCTGAGATATCATCTCATGATCCTGAACAGCTGAACAGTAACCCCTTGACACTGCAGGGATTACTTAGCCTTTATACAACACACAGTAGCTCTTTGGGGACACTTAGAGCTATTTAAATTGCATTGTAGTCTTCAGTTAGAAAAAATGAAAAGAAAAATTAAAAGTGCAATTGCACATATGAAGTTATAGAGTACCATTCTAGCCTACATACATTTGTACACTTTCAGACACAAGTTGTACCACTGTATTACATATTCAAATACACAGTTAAATGTAGTAGAGTATTTGCCCATTAGCTATATGTTCAATCTAACTACAATTTTGAAAGGTTTCTTTGGCAGAAATGTATAAAAACAGTAATAAAAACATGCACTGTGTTGCAGTCTTGTAGACTAATGATGTGCTGCTGTGGTGCCAACAGAGACCTCTGAATAGATTATATTAAATGCTCTTTACTTTATTTCCCAAGGTTGATTACTGAGGAGTGTATTTGGTGGAAATGAAAGAAACAAACAAAATTTAACCAAATTGTAGCAAATTTGAGATTTTTTTATAGAAAATCTTTCAGCTTCCATTTTAATATATTATGACAACATACTAAATAACTTTAAAATTATATGAAATTATTTTGTTATAGATTTCAGTTGAGGGTCATAAAAATAAATAGTATTAATTATTCTATTTCTTCTACAATGAGAATTATATATTATGCTTATCTCTGCTGGAATATACAAATAGAAAATGTGATGGCCAATAAAATTGAATTTTAATGAATTGGGTTATTTTGCAGCATGATTTCAGGGGTCCCTATAAATATAAATCTAATTTTGTATCACATATTAAGATATAATTGAGAATTATATTAATTATATTATGTATAACATAGATCTTAATATAAAATAGTAATTTTAAATATAAGTATTATATAATGACATCATACAATCCATATAATATAATTAAGATATAAAATTTTCCTAAGGCATTCATATATAGTAATTTTAATATAAAATTTACCATCCAAGAAATTAAATCCTTTAGTCTCACAAGCAGTCCCTCAAAAAATGTGAAATTTGCTGTTTTTTCATGGCAAGGAAGTATAAATAAATACAACTCATTAGTGTTCCAACCAACAAGTTTACTCTATAGAAAGTTACAGAAAACAATAAAAAATGAGAACTCTAAAAGATTCAAGTTGGATTTACAAGTTCTTCAGTTTTCTTTATGTCAGTCAGTGAAAATGTATGGCAAGCCAGTATGGGTTTTTATATTCATGAAAGACAGCTAACAGCCTATGGAAAGTATTGGGGAGTATACTTTTTAATGTATTAAATGATAAAAAAATAAATAGTTCAATCTACAGGTCAGTCCATTTTCTATAATATCTGTAGAACAGAGTTTCAGGTTTGACCCTTATGTGTATGCATATGAGCATGCATAAAACAGAGTTTCAATATCAGGTCTCCTCTAAAACAATGATTATCAAACTTAATGTTTATACCGATCACCTGGGAATTGTGTTAAAATGCAGATTCTGCTTCAGAAAGAGTATAGTAGTCCTGAGAGTCATTTCTAGAAAGTACTCAAGTTATTATATTGCTGCCTGATCTCAGAATATACTCTGAATATTCTATAAATCTCTAAAAGACATTAGTCAGGATCAGAATAATTTTAGATTTTATTTGAAACATGTTTTAAAAAGATTTGGCTTTATTATCAGAAAAAAATGGTAACAGAACATTTGTTAAATGCCCACAGTTCACTAGCTATATCTAGAAACTGTAAATGAAATTATATTGAAACACACACATTATTGATGGCTAAATTTTCTCTTAATTTTATTGTGAAAGGGCCAATTTACAGCCAAGTTCTATATGTAGCTACTAAGTGCAAATTAAAATAATGAGGAACATCTGTAACATTTTTAGATCAGATTTGTCAAAATATATTGAAGCACATGTACAATAAATGAACAACATGTGTTTCATATGAACCAAATGAAACTGGAGCCTCTCAGAATGGTTTGCCAGAGACAAGAGCAGCTGTGGGTATCACCTCTACTTTCATCCTGCTTTAAAATGCATGATTTTCTTCTTCCAGTTTATAGGTGAAATGCATAATAAGTCTTTTGCAAAAAAAAAAAAAAAAAAAAAAAAACTCTGACCTCCTAATAAAGGAGATAGAT